GAGAGAGAGAGAGAGGGAGAGAGAGAGAGAGAACTACAGGTCAGTTTCCCTAATGAACATAAATGCAGAAATCCACAATGAGATACTGGCAAACAGAATGCAGCAAATCATCAAGAAGATTATATACCATGACCAAATGGGATTCATCTCAGGAATGCAGGGATGGTTCAACATATGCAAATCAATAAATGTAATCCACCATTCAACAGCGCCAAAGACAAAACTCACATGATCATCTCAATAGATACAGAAAAAGTTTTTCACAAAGTCCAACATTTACTTATGATAAAAATTCCAGAGAAAATCAGAATACCTGGTCTTTATCTCAATCTGTTAAAAGCCATCTATGACAAACTAAGCCAACATCATAGTAAATGGATAAAATAAAAAAGCTTTTACTCTAAAATTAGGAAAAAGATAAGAACATCTATCCCTTGGTAATATGGATTCCTTGGTAAAGGGATCTCTATAGATCTCTATAGATGCATAACCTGCATATCCTCACTGCAGTCCAGAAAACTTATATTTGTGATCCCATGGAAAAGTTGTTGGAATTCTAGCAAGTTAATTTCAATCTAACACTTCTAGTGCAACTCATGGCAAGAATAAAGACACTAAGACATATTTATAATTGTGGGTGGCCAGGGGGTCCTAAGTCTGACCAGGATGAAGGCTCATGAGAACAAAGGGCCTAACCTGGGTTTTATTAATTAGTGAAGAAGGATGTGGCTTGAAGATGAGTGACTGTGAGACTGGTGGGAGACACATGTGTGCTGTGAGCTGGGCTAGGTAGGAGCCCTGAAAGCACCTCTGCAATATGCGGAGAAAAGGATGTGCAGAAAGACCAATCTGTTTAACACACCTGAGGGAGCATGTAATGTTTAGGCAGTGGTGCTTCAGCTTTGGTGTGCAAACTTTTTCTGCCTTGGGAAGTCATAGTCTCTTATCTTGAGCCTCAATCCTGCTGACAGGACTGGAGAGGTGGCTCTGCATCCCACCTGGCTCAACCATGTTTTGATGGGAGTCATGGGGCAGGGAAACAGCTGTCCCCTGGCCTCAAAGGTTATGCATCAGCATCTCAACCAGCCCTATTTAAGTTGCTCAGAGCCAATCAAAAGGGAAAATATCCTTAAAAAAAAAGAAAGAAAAAAGAAAAGAAATACTTAGCAATCAATCTATTACAGGAAGTAAAGGATCTATATATTGAAAATTCAGTGCTCTGAAAAAGGAGATTAAAGAGGATATCAGAAAATGGAAAGATATCCCTTGCTTATGGATAGGAAGAGCTAACATAGTGATTATGGCCTTACACCCAAAATTTTTGTACAGATTTAATAGAATCCTGATGAAAATACCATTAGCTTACCTCACAGAACTAAAGAAAAGATACCTAAAATTTATCTGGAATCAGAAAAGACCTAGAAGACTGTGACTTTTTAAAATCACTATTGCTTTGTAATTTAGCTTAAAGTCAGGTATTGTTTTTCTGTTTTTCTGCCTGCTTTGCTCTTATTATAAAAAATTGTTTTTACTCTTCTGCATCTCTTCTGGCTCCATGTGGGTTTTAGCATAGTTTTCTCTGTGCCTGTAAAGAATGTTGTGGGTATGTTGACTGGGACTCCATTGATTTTGTATAAGTGCTTTGGAAGGTTGGCCATTTTGACAGAATAGATTCTGCCTATCTAGCACAGAGAGCATCCTTCCATTTTCTGGTGTCCTCTCCAAGCTCCTTCTCCAGTGTACTATAGTTTTCTTGGAAAAGGTCTTTCATTTCCTTGGTTAAGTTCCTAGATATTTCATTTTTCTTGAAGCTCCAATGAATGTGGGTGTTTTTTTTTTTCATAATTTCCCTCTCATCCCATTCAATTGGCGTATACAAATACTGATGATTTTTGTGTGTTAATATCTCCTGCTACTTTGTTGAAGTTGGTTATTTATTTATTTAATGGTACCAGGAGTCAAACTCAGGACCTCACACTGGTCAGTCAGACACTTGTGCTGTTGTGGTATATCCCTGACCAGAAGTTGGTTATTAATTTTCTAGTATTTTTTATCATAAAGTTGTGTTAGACTTTGTCAAAAAATTTTTCTTCATCTATTGATAAGATCATACATTTCTGAACCATCCTTACATCTCTGGGATGAATTTGATCCTGATATGCCATCTTTTTGAGAATGTGTTGCATTCTATTTGCTAATGTTTTGATGAGGAATTTTGCATCTATGTTCTTTAAAGAGATTGGCTTATAGCTCTTTTTTTTAGTTGGGTCTTTATCCAGTTTTGGGATCAGGGTGACATTGGTTCCAAAATGAATTTTGGAGCACTCCATCCATTTCAATGTCTTTGAAGAGCCAGAGGACTATTGGTGATATGACTCCTTAAAGATTTTACAAAATTCAACTGTGACTCCATCAGGTCTTTGGACTTTTTTTTAAGTTGGTAGATTATTACTAAGTCAATTTCAGTGCTTGCTATTGGATTGTTAAGCATATTTATGTTCTCTTGAGTTAGTTTTGTAGTTTGTATGTGTCTAGGAATCTATCCATTTCTTCAAAATTTGCTAATTTATTGGAATATAATTTTTAAAAGTAGTTAATAACTACCTTCTGGATTTCAATAGTATCTGTTTTGATTTCATCTTTTTCATTTCTAATTGTATCGATGTGAGTCTTTTCTCTCCTGGTGAGTCCAGTTAAGGGGTTATTTATTTTATTTATTCCTTTAAGAGCCAGCTCTTGAATTTGCTGATATTTTTACAGACCAATGAAATCTTGGTTTCACTGACTTCTGCTCTCATCTTTATAATTTCTCTCTTTAATTTTGGCTTGGGGTTTATTTGTTGATTCTTCTCAAGTACCTTATGATGTATCATAAGGTTATTTATTTGGGCTTACTCTCTTTCCCTAATTGAGCATTGATTGTGTTGAATTTTCTTCTTAGGACTACTGTTACCCTGTCCCTGATATTGTTTTTGAGTTGTACAGTCACTGTTATTAGTCTCCAGAAAATTGTTAATTTCTTCTTTGATCTCTTCTGTGACCCAATGGTTGTTAAGAGATATGTTCTTAATTTTTCAGGAGCTTTTGCCGTTTCTGAAATTCCTTCTGTCATTGATTTTCTTTTTGTTATACTACAGTCTAATAGTATGTATGGATGATTTCAACTCTTCTATCTTTATGTAAGCAGCTTTGTGGGCTACTATGTGATCTATTTTGCAGAAGTACCATATTCTGCTGAAAAGAATGTGTACTCTGTTGTAGAGAGGTGCATACTCTGTATATTTCCATTCAGTCCATCTGTTAAAGGGTGTTTTTTAGCTCTGAAATTTCTTTATTGATTTTTGTTTAGTTTATCTTTTTATAAAAGTAAGGTATTTAAATCCTCTATTATGATGGTGTTAATATTTATGTGACCTTTTAATTTCAGCAGTATTTTTTTATCAAGATAGGTGCTCTAGTATTTGTTGCACAGATGTTTATTAATGTTATCTCTTCTTGTTGATTGTTCCCTTAACTGGTATGTAGTGATCTTCTTTGTTTCTTCTAATGAGTTTTAACTGGAAACTTACTAAGTCTGATATTAGAGTTGCTACCCTTGCTTGTATTCTGAGTCCTGGTGCATGAAATGTTGTTTTCTGTACTTTAATTTTCAGATGATGAATACCTTTTTGGGTTAGATGAGTTTCTTGACTGCAAGAGATTTTTTTTTTTTTTAGTTTCATCTTTCAGTCTATGTCTTTTGATTTGAGAGTTGAGGTCGCCAACATTGAGAAATATTACTGAGTCATGTTGGTTATTTACTGTCATGCCTTCTTAATCTGTTGGTATATAATTTTTCTTTTCCTGATATTTTTTGTTGCTGATTATCCATTTATCTCACTAATTTCCTCAGTGTTTTTAGCTATATTTGATTTGTTGGTTCTGTCAAGAATATTCTTACGTAGTTTCTCTAGAAATGATTTAGCACTCATATATCTTCTGAGCTGGTTTACCTTTATGTGTGACTTTTTTGTTTTTCTCTGGCTTCCTTTAAAATTCTGTTTTTTTTTTTTTTTCTTGGCATCTGTGACTTTAATAAGGACAAGCCCTAGTGAACTTCTGCTTTTGGTTTTCTCTAAGTGTCCCTTACTTGAATTTTAAACTTTTTCTTATATTTGAGACTTTTTCTTCCTAATTTCTGTAAGTATCCATGTAACTATTTTCTAGTTTTTCCTCTAACTTTAGATTGGTTCTCTTATCATTTGGTAGCTGCTGGATAATCTTTTGTCCTTTTATTTACTTTTTGTTCCTTTGAACTCTTTATTTTAACTTCCTGTTTTGTCTTCCATATCACACTGTCATTGGTCATTTGTGCAATGTGTGGTTTCTGCCTTGTTTTTTATTTTAGGTATTTTGGTCTGACATCTTTTCAAGGATTCCATATCCTTGTTCAATCTGTTACTAACATTTTGAACAGTTTTTGACAGCTCATCCAGGTTTTACCTGCATTCCTGAAATTCACTGTGGGCGTACTGAGAGTAATTGCTGTGAACTTTTGATTCATTTCATCTTTAAACTCATCCATTTTCTTTATCATTCATAAGATCTTTTAACAGATTTCTGCTACCTGGTATTTGTTTTTTCCTCCCTTTGTTAGTTTTCTCTACCTTATGAGAACCGAAGAGTAGAGATCTTCTATTTCTTTACCTCTCCATTCTCTTACTTAGATCTCTCTCTCTGTGATACATATATATTCTACATATGGACTCCTCTTTTTGGGTATATGTGGGGGGTGGCTTATTGCAGGTTGGAGATCAGAAAAGTGAGAAGATTCTGTGGCTTACTTGGTGATTTTTAATAGGGTGTTACCTCCTCATGAGTAATTTTCAGTTTTGTATGACCAGTGCTAGTACTGCTTTTGTTATTTAAGTGATTTTAGCTCTGTCCCTATGTTTTACCAAAGAATGCCTTCAATTGAGAACAGCATCCACAAGTTCAATTTTACAACACTTAGGTATGATAAAAATATGGAATATTTTGCAAATTTACATGTCATTCTTATGCAAATGACATGCTAATATTCTCTGTATCATTCCAATTTTAGTATATACGCTACAGAAGTGAATACTTGAAAATTTTCCTCTCGTTTCTTTGGATGTGGCTTTTGTTCCTTTTTCTTTTTCTCTCTTTCAGTAGCATGAACATATTATTGTGCTTGATGGTGTCCTATGCATTCTTTAAGATATCTTTACTGTGTGTCATACTTTTAATTTTTTTGTTCTTCAGATTGGCTGAGTTCCTATAACCTATGCTCAAGTTTACTACTCCTGTCTTCTCTAGACTGCTGTTAAACCCTTCATTGATTGTTTTTAGTTCCTTTATTCTGTTTTATTATTGAGATAGGGTCTTATAATATTGCACACTAGCCTCAAACTCACAAAGCAGTTCAGGCTGGTCTAAAATTTGCAATTCTTCTGCCTTAACCTCTCTGAGTTCTGGGATTATAGGTATGTATAACCATGTCTAAATTATACTCTTCAGTTCATTTATTATACTCTTCAGTTATATGATTTGTTTGGAATTTTTAAAAATATTGTCTGATTATTGAAATAGTTTAAGCACTGCTCTGCTGACCTCATTGTCTTTATGACTGTGCTCTGTTTCAGCAGGGTTAGATTCTGGAGAGTTAGTTTTTCTTTTATTTAGAATATAGTCCCCTGTTTCTCCATTTTCCTTGAATCTGTTTCCTTTTTTTGTACAGTTCATAAGAAAATCACTTTTCCCTGTTCTGTTAACTAGCCTCTTACAGGAGCTGGGCCTCACCAGTCAGTCCGATCAGAGATACTAGATCTCCCTCAAGTATGTTTGTTGTCCAACATACTGTCTTTGTTCTTCATGGACCCAAGGAGATTAGGAAGTTGGTACCTGAAACAGGTGATGCAGAAGTTGGTCTTTGGGATGCATTTGAAATTTTGGGCTGTTAGATATATGTCTTACTTCCTTTTTTTTTTTCTTATGAAAAGCTGAGACCCAGAATTTATCTCACATTTATTCTGTCCTACACCAAGTAGAGGATGTGTGACAGATACCTTCTTCAGGTGTGTCCTCTGTGCCTGTGGAGATAGCTGCTGAATGTGAACATTTAAACAGCTTCTTTGTGTTATTTGTGATCCAAGAAGACTTAGGAATGCGGAGGGCCAGCAAGTTTCAGAGCCTGGAGGTTCAGAAGTCAGTCCCTGAAGAGGAAGGTGTAAAAGTGGAGGGACCTGATGCACACACAAATTCCTTCTGGGGAGGGGCTGAAGACCTGGATTTACTGTTGTAGAAAGCCCTGAAAGAAGGTGCTATGAGTGTCCATCTTAACATTCAGGCTTACAGAGGTTTCACAAACTCCTTCCAGAGAGAATCTGGAGGCCTCTTTTTATTGTTGAAAGAAACTGGGAAAGAAAATATGGAGTCCTACTTTTCAAGTTATTTTTTTCTCTCCTTTAGGCACCAAGATACAGGCAAGTTAGAAGCCAGAATCTCAAGGGGTTGCTGGAAGCGGGCAGCCCAGCCCCATCCAGCTGGAAGCGGGAAGCAGTGTGTTTGAAGGCTGCAGATGCTGGGAGCACTTGTGTCAAAACCACATCTTTGTACTTCAGAGAAGTTCTGCAGTGTTGCATCCTTGATGCTCCCCTAGCAAAGTAATTTCAAATCTTCAGGCAGGAGTTGAACAGATAGGGCATTTTGTATGTGTTACAGACATTTCACTCCTTAGGAAGTAGCTGGAGTTGTAAACTCCTTCCTGATATTAAAGAGCTGCGCTCAACATGGGGTAGACGTGTGTCTCTCAGCTTTCTTATCTGACAATGTGGATATTCTTTCAAATATTCGGTATGCAGGAGTCATCTTCCTACTTTCTAGTTTCTGGTTCTTTCTTGGAGAAAATTGATCTGTGGGTAGGACTTCTTATTCCTTTGGTTGTTCATATCACTCTCCAGAACTATGAATTTCAAGAAATGCCTTGAAATAATAAATAGTTCCTAATGCCTTAATATCCGTAAGTTAAGGAGATTCTTCTGACACTATTTTTTTGGATATACAAGTAGGCATAATAGATAGCATCTAAAATGGTATTCCTAATAGGACAATACTCATAAAACATAGATGGTAAAGATCTGATATAGGTAACTAATATTTAGAAATGAACATAAGAGATAAGTTCAAGAATTGGTATAGTTTGTATATAACATAATTTTATATTTTCTCCAAGTAAGATCTTTTCTACATAAGATAATGTATAGCTATGCTTCTTGCATAGGAGGAAATGCATGCTAAGCATTTTTAAAGCATCCAAAATAATATCCTTTTCTTCCATCTGTTCTAGATGGTTAAACATGTTATGGACTAGCTGCATTTTGTACAATAATTTCTTTGGACATTAAAATGACTGAATTCTCCAAGCAGAAAATGAAAACTCTGGAACCCAGGCAGAATAACAAGTATTACTTCTGTTCAATCAAATACAGAATTTAAATATACAAGTAAACTGCTCTGTTTATGTGCTTTGCCATTTAAATGTTGTTATGTTGTATAATAATTAAAAGTGCCTAGTAGAAAATAACCAATTTGAGACCAAATAAAATGAGTCTGGTGGTCTGAGAGTCAAGCAGATCTAGTCAAGTAATGCTAGTGAAATCCATTTTTGTGTGTAATTTTGAGAAGATGCCATTAGCGTTTTGCGTGTGTGCTTGACTGAAAAAAACAATGAAGCCCAGGAGGACAGCAGAAAACATTGTTTCTAACTTGAAACCCATCTGGTTGTTTATTTCTGAAATGGCTCTAGGAACAAATTGGAGGTAACAGTAAGACATTTGCTTGAGACAAATGTTCTGAAGCTTGAAATAATTTTCAAAACATTCAAAGGACCATACTTTGCTACTCTAAGTGTGGTCTGTGGGGCAGTAGCATTGGCCTGTCCTTGGAGCTTGGGAGACCTGCAGAGTATCAGGTCCTTCCCAAGCCCACGGAAGCAGAAGGTTTGTTTCAACAAGAACCCCAGGTGATCGCTAGTAAAATTTGAGATGTGTTGATTTTTATTAACTCTTCAAAAAGATCTTTGTCAGAAGGTGAGGTAGAGGGCAGGTGGATTCCATGTCTCAAGATATTGTGAAGTGTTGATTTTTGGGAGGGAGTTTGAACACTGAAATTCTGCAAGTAAACAACACACAGAAAAATCCAGAGAAGAAAATCCTTCTTTGAGAACATAGCTTTTGCTGGAGATGCTCAGAGATCAATCCATCAGATGGCACTGGCAGATCTTCTGAGATGTTTATCAGGCTCAAAAATAAGTTTTTATAACAGGTAGGGGGTAGTAAGGCTTTCTCAATACATATATCATTTATCTGTTTTTATAATTATGCATTTATGGGTCAATAATCATCCTCAAGAAGCTAATCTTTCACTGCTTTATTAGACGGTAGGAATATGATTAGATCTTCAGTCTATATTTTTAATTGCACAAAAAGAAATCCCCCTTGTCCCACAAGGAGGACACAGAATGAAGATTTTCACCACATTACCAAGAACTAAGTGAATAGAATGACAGGGTCCAAAGTCGGTCTTTTTCTAATTTTCCAAAGTAGGATCCTGGCCCAAGGCTTTGGACACACAGAAAATCCTGCCAGCTACACTCTGTGCAGGACAAGGAAATTCTCCTCATTTCAGTCTCTGGCAGTCAGGATCCCTCTACTTCATTTCAAAATTAATTGTCTAACTAAAACCACGCACGTCTTGTTCCCAAAGAACTTTGTGAGGAGAACAGGCTGATCAAGATGGCACAGATGAGCAGAAGTTGCCAAGTGAGTTCAGACGTAAGGAGCACTGAAGTAGGTTTGGGTGAGGTGGTTTCCACCTTCTTGGACTTCTGTGTCTCTTCCAAACCCTTCAAGTGCTAGTTTGTAAAAGTAACTTTTGGGGCATCTGGTTGGCTCCTCAATGTAATTCCACTCAGTGATGAATACGTAGATTAATATCTAAAGGTTAAATAATAATAGCAGTTTAACCATCTGCTTTAACTTATTGCTTGCTCTGCCACTGGACTTTCTAACTGTGCTCTGCTTAGATATATAAAATGTTCTTCACTGAATTGTCTGAGAAGTCTAGCAGACTGAAATCTGATGGAATTCCTAAGGCCCAATGATATATTAGGGACAATGGCAAGAATACTGGCTTTGAAGCAAGACTCACTGGCATGAACATCTTAGCTCTGTCCCTGTTTGTGTGTCCTTTAAACCTCACTAAACTCAACTATGTGGGGGAAATAGAATACTATTTCACAGTTTCCTATGGGGAGTAAAAGACATAACACATGTAAGTCACTTATCAAAACCCCTGGCCTTCAGTAGAGAATTAAAAGGTTTTATCCTTTTCCTTTTCTTGATGAGTATTTTCTCTAGAAAGCAGAGTCTAAGTCAAAATTTAAATACTAAAGTTTTGTTGAGGGGCAGCAACATGAAAGAACTAGGAAAATGAGGTAGGGGAAGAGAAGAAGCAAGGACACAGTCATCTGTTACTGAGCTGGCCAGAAATGACCGTGAAACATGATGCCTGCTTCAATGTGCAGGGCATCCCCAGAGGAGACAGATGGAAACTCAGTTCAGGAACAGTTGCTTGGGGAAGAAGGAGGGAACAACACCTTTTGTAGAGTTTTTTCTATTCTCTGTTGCTCACTGGGCAAAAATGCCCCCTCCACTGGTCCTAACTCACCTCCAATTCAAACTTACGTTGCCAGATGGGTAGTGGCATGGAACCAATGAGGGGCACAAAGATGTCATGGACTTGCCATGGAAGACAATGAAAAATAAGTTTTGGTAACAGAAAGAGACTTAAAGACAAAGTAAAAAAAGAAAATAACCCATTATATACATTAATAACAGTACCATATGAAATCATTATAGTATATAATCAATATAGACTAATACAAGATAAATGAAGAACTTACATCTGAAATACACACAATAAAATGTTAAACTAGGTACCATTAAAAAGGAAATTAAGAACAAAAAATATAAATATTTTTCAGCTTTCAAGTTCAGTGTCAGAGATGCCAAGAGGCCAACAAGAATAAGAATTAAAAAAAA